TTTATTATTGTGTGAATGTTTATGAAGCATTCATACTGTAGATTTTTCTACCTGGATTATTGAGCATGCATCAGGAGATTCATACTGTACGTTTTCCAGCATCTTCCTCGTTCCACAGTTTTTGTGTTATTTCAACAAATCATACATGAAAACGTTCAGCTCTTTCAGAAGGGTGCTATGACTTTTGGTATAGGTGCAACTTTAGCTTTTTGAAATATTTAGCCTTTTCTGCCCCTTTTCCTTCATAGAAAAAGAACTGAGCTAATTTTACACGCTTCACATCTTTAGATCTGTTTACAACCTTTTACTGCTCCTTTCACATTTTGTTCTGGTTCAGCTTCTTTCAGCTTCCTTGTGCACATTAAAACTTTTTTTCAGCTACTTTCAGCTTATTTCAGCTGTTTTTTCAGCTGTTTTGTGCTCTTTTCAGATCTGCTAACTACCAAATTTGTGTGTTTCTTCTAACTATTTTCTGTTAAATATAACTTGTTATGCTCCTTTCAGGTTTTTTATGCAAGTTTTTGCTTTTTCTGCTATTACTGTTTAGCTGTTTTTAATGGTAATTGTATATTTTTCCAGCCAATTCTAAATTTTTTCACTCATTTCAACAGTTTTCTGCCTAATTCAGCAAAATTAAAAATCTCCTCTTCCTTCTGGTAATTTAAACTCCTTTCTGCTTTTTAGTTACTTTTTCAGCTGTTGTTTGTTGTTGCTAATTTCAACATTTTCAGATAATTTCCACTTTTTTTGTGCTCATTTCTGCTTCTTTCAACCTAATTGGACAAACGTGTTGTTACTTTCTTCTGCTAACTGAAGCTTGTTCTACCTGTTCAGCTAACTTTTAAGCATTTCCCAGATAATTTCAGCTGTTTTCAGAAAAAATCAGGTTTCTTCTAGTAATTTCTGCTACTTTCAGCCTAATTAACATTTTTTCTGATAATTTCAGCTTGTGCTTTGTTCAGTGTATTTCTGCTATTCAGCTTTTTCTGTTGTTTCAGCTACTACTTAGCTGTTTAATGCTAATTTTAGCTTTTTCAGCTAATTCCACACTTTGGAGCTCATTTCAGCTCATTCCACTTCCTTCTGATAGCTTAAGCTTCTTTCTGCCTTTCAGATACTTTTCAGCTGTGTTTATTTGCCAATTTTTAGCTTTATTTTTTTTTAGCTAATTTCCTAATTTTCATGCTCATTTCAGCTATTTTAAGCCTAATTCAGCAAATAGGTGTTCTTTCTGCTTTATTCTGCTAATTTAGATTTGTTCTTCCACTTCAGCTACTTTTCAGCATGTTTTTTTAACCTAATTTGTGACGTTTTTAGGAAGTTCTTCTGCAATAAGCATTCACATGGCACAGGAAATGCAATTTCTCAAGTTGTTTATTTACTAGTCTGTCCTCAGATTAAGAGCTGGTGAAGATGATTCTCACTCGTTCTCTCCGAGAAAAGCAAAACTGCTCTCTGTCTGTTCTTAAGACCCAATAATGGACAGAACAAAAATCCACACATTGTTATTTTATTTTGAAGCAAGAACAAAAAGCATCAACAGTGCACTGGTAGCTTTAACACATGTAGTGTGTTGTTTGTGTAGAACATCACTAATAACTGAGAAGTATTTGTCTGTTCAAGATATTACACAACATGCATCTTCAAGACTTGATCACACAGTGAAATGAGTCACGACTCAGTGTTTCGCTGATGCACAAGAAGATACGTCTCGCAAAATGTAGACGGGACACCAGACATTTCCTCCTGCGCCTTTAAACAAACAATAAACCCATTGTCTGTCTTATTAAAATAGACACAAATTGAATATAATGACTGTCATCATTGCATGCTGTACCTCAACCACACTTTTTCTTCTTACTTTGCTTGGCACGCTTTCAGTTGTTGCATCAACGTGACTGAATCTGATAAACCGTGCAGATTATACAATAATATTTTAAAAAGCTTCCCATTTGGTGACTATTTCTCTACAAAATGATCAAGTTTACATGTGGAAAAACAGAGCTGCAATTAGAGCTCTGTTTGGACATTTTCCTGCTGTTCGGAATAAAAATTTTGTGTAAGTGGTTCATAATAAGCTGTTGTCTTGTGCATGTGGCTGTGGACACAATTATGTGTGCAGAGGGAAAAATATCCAAATCCCAATAAAACATTTATGAAAGAAGCCTGCTTGATCTTTTATCTCAGACAATAACTGTAACAATATAAACATATCTTTGTTTCTCACCGTGTCTAATCCAAACAACTTATCATGACTGGACTGGACTGTTTAGCTGGTGTATAAAACATGAAGTCAACTGAGGTGCAGGAAACCACAAAGAAAAGATCTGACCATTTGTTCTGGAAATGATCGATTCTTCCAGACAAAAGAGAGTTGTCGCTGCTTTGGGTCATTTTCAACCAACTGGTAAGATTCAAACCCATCAACCTTCAAACGAAACAACATTTCAGTACATCTTAAATATTTGATTGGTGTTCTAGAGCAAAACTGTCTTTTTTCTTTAATTACTTGGATACAAATGTTTTGAAATTACCCATTGTCGCAGCAGTCTCTTCACAGAAAGTTTCACACACACAAAAAACATTTTATAGCTTCAACCAGTAACTAAAATGTCAAAAAAAAATTTATATCTCTGAAGCACTGAAGTGAGTAATAATCATCAGTTACATTCTTTTTAACCCTTTAATTTGCTTTCATTTCTTGATTCCACTCAAAAAGCAGTGTATGACCCCTTGCTGAAAGTGAAAACAGTAAAAATGTTTTTGCTCTTGTACATGTGTTAGCCTGTATCAATGGCTAAATATCTTATGATTCACCAAACAGAATTCATAAAACTCTCAGAAAAGTTTCTCATTAATATGTAAAAGTAGCTATTAATGAGACACTTGGCTTGCCACATGGGGGCCCTTTAGCGGTTGAAACTGGTAGTGTTCAATATTTTCCATGTCAGAATGAATGAAATTGTCAGATCTCAACCAAAAATTAGGTTATAAATATGTGTGTGTGGGGGGGGGGGGGGGGGGGGGGTCTCTTTGCCATATAAGTTGCAGGGCATGCAAATTTATGCAAAAAAGTGCAACTTATATGGCGAAAAGTATGGTAATCAGTTCAAGCAGACACAAGAACAACTTTTTTTAGCCCAAATTTAACAGATATTGAGCTAAAATTTGGTGTGGTAGTAGCTGACAGTCATTCACAACACATACTCCAAGCACTAGTAGATTGCGGAATTTGCAAGGTTTGACCAAAATGGCTGCAACTCCACCATTTCCCAACAAATAACGATCTTAGTTCTCAACTCGGGCATGAAAGGCAGCAAGTGAAATGCATTCCTTTAAGGACTGCATGTCTGACGTCACGCACAACATACACGTATTTGCACAAAAATAAAGTCTGCGGACGCATATTTACAAACGATACACGGCATGTGACAACTCGTGGCCCTTTAAAGTAAAAACAAATACAATAAGACGTCTGCTGCTTTCCTCTTCTGCAGCTGACAACAAGGAGAAAAGACCAATAATCAACAGCTTATTCTCATAAAATTGTGTGAAAGTGCTGAAAACCATAAACCCGTTGTGTGCTCAGTGTGACATCATCACTTGTCACTCAAAAAACAAACAAACAAACAAAAAAACATGCATTGAAATTCTCTCAAATGCACATTTTAAGGTTGCACACATAAATTAATACGCATCTTCTCAGCTCACAATGCTCTATGTGTAATAATTATCCCAAATCTTCCATGTCTATTGTAGAAAAACGCCACAGAATCGATACGTTTGAGATAAATGCAATTATGTCTTTATAGTGAATTATAAAAAAATACTGATTCACAGATATTTTTGTAGCACGACAACAACAACGAAAGGCATCTTGCACAAAGAGTACACAACAAACATGTAAGCACAGGCCATTTTAAAGATTATAACAGATGTTCAGTCCTGCTTGGCTCGTTTGTTTAATCCTCCAGAGCAAAAGTGATCCCATTGAAACATCATGCGAAGGCTGTTAGATTGTTGTTAATCATACGCTGGCAAACTGCTTCTAGAACAGCATATTTTAGTACAAACAGGCTGAGGAGTCTTCTGCTGCAGGTTCAGAGCATCCACAGTTTGGCACAAAGATCCACTGTAATGATTTCCTCCAGGTACATACAGATTCAGGCTTTCGTCATTTTATTTAACCCTCCTGCTGCCGTTGAGGGTCATTTTGACCCAACGACAGCTGGAGGGTTAAACTGAGCTTTCTGTTTCGTGTGTTTTATGAAAGGTTTCATCCAAATCAAGTCTGAATGGTTGATTAAGTTAAAGTCTAACGCCAGACATGGAAACTCGAACAGCGTTGATGAAAAGGACACGGCTGGTGCAGCGACACGCTTCATAAATCCGAAGCGGTCGAGGCCAGCGTGGCGCCGCGGACGTCGATGATTGGCGTTAACCGTTCGAGTCGACCCCTGCTGCATTCAGACGGAGACAGATTGAAAAGCACAGTTGGTGTAAATGACTCAGAAGTTCAGCTGAGTCTTCATGAGGGCAGAAAACCGCAGAGCTGTAACAACTGTAAATCCACATTCACCGGAGCTCCCGCTGTTTTCTGACAAGTCAAAGCTCTTCTCGCAGAAGAACCGTGGCCAAGTGGCACAAAGGTGTACGGACAAAGACAAGTCACTGATTTTTTTTTTTACAGCAAAATCAGGAGATAAATGAGGCGAATTGAATAAACACAAGAATTTAAATTGGTTTTAGGAGTTTGTCAATGCATTTGTCTATTTACTGGCAAATGTTTCTTTGTACACATGATGTTAAATTAAGATTCACAAAGTTTAAAACGGAAAATATTGTTGCAGTTCAAGGCAAAGCTTGTTTTTTTAATTTTGACTGATTCTGCTGCTTGTGTTTAATCATGTCTCAGTAAAAGCAAAGCAAGAAACAATTTGTGCGACCACATGCGGTGAACAGCCTGACTCGGAGCGGGCCGTGCTGTTCAGCTCCAGCCGGGTTCTGGATTCGTCGTGTGTTCATGTGGTTTCTGTGCGTTGGTTTAAAGCCCCGTGGTGACCTGCGTGAGCTCCGAGTTGAGATCGTCGTTGGTGACGCCACCGCAACAGCGAGAGTCCACCGACGACCCCTCCAAGCCTAGTCATACCTGCAGAGGGAGAGTGTTTGTGTCACTGGGGGCACAATTTTAAACTATTACATGTCTATTCAACCAAAAAGAATCCAAAGCGGTTTCATTTTACTCTGCTGAAAGAGGAAGTCACGGTTATTGACAATACAAATAATATTGATGTTGTTTATTATATTGATATATACTTCCTGCTTTGTTTTTGACTCTGTTGAACTTTGTACTAGAAAAGCAGATTCATCATTTTGTAGGCTGGATCAGGGACACATTTTTTCTACCGGGTTCTGGTCATGTTGTTTTCTTTGTCAGATTGTGTTTATTATATATTTATTAACTTTTATTAAATCAGACAAATCACACTGAGATCACAGATCTCTTTCGCAAGTGAGGCATGGACCTAGAGTTGCATTTGGGCACCAAAAATATCTAACCCGGCCCCAGCCCGTAGCCATCATTTCCGACCCCACCCGGACCTGACAAATTAACAATAATTACATGTCGGAGCTGAGGGGGTGTTTGTCCTTTCATGGCCGTCAAAGCATTACATCCCTGCTTCTGCCTGCATTATTCAGACATGGACCCTGCTCTGATGTCTGCTTTGGGATCTCACCTGTTTGGGTCATCGGCCGCGTGCGTCCGCTGAGTACAGAGACTGAATGTCCATTTTGGTGATGGATCGCTTCCTGGCAGATTAGTCCCATCTGAAGCTTAAATGAACTTTATTTTACCTCTTTCAAAGCCAGTCAGCATGAGGTCAAATGGCCGCGTGCAGCTGGTGAATGTCAAGCAATGACAAGCGACGTTGCCATTTAATTGGATTGTATGGCAAGCCATGTTTCCAGATAATTGGAACTGTAGCAAGTCATGTTGTCATATTATTGGATCGCCAGCTGCACACGTCCGCTGACGCAATCAAAAACCCAACACCGACACGGCCCGCCCGTCCAGCACATTATTCCGGCTCGGCCCTGCCCAAATTCGGGTCGGGCCAGTCTTCGGGCCCGAGTTAGAAATGTCAGCTCTACGTGGACCTGAAAGCAGCCTAACATGCATGTTTGGGATTTGAAGCATCTAAAATAGGCCAAAAGGTTGAAAGATTGACTTTTTATTAATGCCTGTTGTCCAAAATATGTCATAAATCAGACAAATTTTAATGAAATTCATAGAAAGTAATCACAGAATATACATTTACAAAAGTTTAACTTTGAGTCAACCCAATCAAGATGGCTGCCACCGATGTTGATCTAAAAAAAAAACACACAAATATACTTTTAATTCTGTTAATTTCACTGGTATTGAAAGTTGGTGTAATAGTAGCTGAGACCATCCCCACCTCATAAAGGAAGTACTAACAGATTATACAAGATTGTTGTATACAATTTTTTTGTTAACTATTTGAAGTCAACTGTCTGTCTGTTAACAATTTAGGTCATGAACTACCGGGAAGAGTTTAATGAAACATTCAGGAAATAAACTTTGGATCTACATCTGTGATTTAGTAACTTGTGGAGCCAAACCAAATCAAGACGGCTGCCACAGCTAATCCACATTAGCCAAAACAAAATCCACTCTAAAGCAGCCAGTTTTAGAGCTATTGAGTCAAAGTCTGGTGTAGCAGTAGCTGAAAATCTCGTTAACACATACTTTTAACTCCACGTATTTCACGGCATCTTTCCTTAAAACTTTGGCATTGACTGTAAAAACGTCAACTCAGTTCTTAAACATCTTTTAAACTACTGAACACATTTTTACTGAACCTTTTAATGAAGTCAACGTATACAATAAATAAATAAAAAATGTTTGCAGCCAAAGCCAACTGACTTCTGGAAACACTAAATATAAAAATAACAGTTAATTTGACACATATTGAGCTACAGTGTATCAGAAACCAAAAGTCGCCAACAACACATACTTTATCAAGGTCAAGGTCAAGGTTATGAGCTGACTTGTAATGTTTTATAAGGTCAAACTCATTGCATGTTGAAATTTTAGGTTCGCACCCCCCCCCCCCACACACACACACATGGATTACCTGCTGATTGGATCGTTCGCTCAAGTTTGTGGTGTTGCGTTCTCTCTGTGGGGCCTTGCGGCTGGTGGCTCCGGTTCTGGATGAGTTCTGTATCTCCAGCACTGAAGGACTCGGGGTGCAGAACTCACGGAAACAACGCTTAAAGTTCTCATCCAGGTAGCCGTAAAGAACCGGGTTCAGACTACTGCAGGAGAAAACGGTCAAAAAGGTCAAAGATTCATGTAGTTTTCATGTATTACAGTACTTTATATATTTTCTTGGTATAGTTTAAAAGCATGTCCCAGCATTTTATTGTATGAACACTTAAAATTTGGTCATATTTTACATCTTTCTAACAATCCAGTTATTCCATCTGATCAGATTATTCATTTCTTAACATGTTTCCATCTTTGAACACAACATCCTCTTCATATTTAGTCTCACTTCTTTATTTCGCTGAAATATTTTCTTATTTTAACCCATAACTGAGCAGCAATCTCTCCTAACAACATGAAATACGACATGGCAGCCAACAGATTAGCCGCTCCTGGGTGTGTGTACCTGTTGGTGTAGCCCAGGGCGATGCAGAAGTGCCAGGTGATGGTCTGCAGTGTGGAGCTGGGGATGTTGATCAAAGCCGTGATGATGACGAAGACGTGGATGGGAGTCCAGCAGACGATGAAGACAGCGACCACCACCAGGACCATCCGGGTGATTCGACGCAGGTTTCTGTCTTTCTCCTGGGAGATTTGTGTTAAAAGAAGTAAAACCTTTATGCCAGGAAAGCTAATTATCATAAAAAGATGAAAACAAACTGAATTAAGGAAAAAAGCTGCACAGAAAACAAGTTTCAGGTGTTGATTTGTAATGTGAATACACTATATGTAGTCTTTCTTCTGAATACAATTGTGTTGACTTTGAGCACAACATGAAACAGGTTCATAATAAAGGAACAAAATGTTCCTTCGTCTGTCTCTTCTAACATCTATAAAAACGCTGAGATGAAGAACAGAGGGGTCAGAATGACCCAAAATCAAAGTTGAAGTCTCATTTAACCCAGAACTCCTTATATTGTCTTCACTATTACTCAACTTTGGTTAGGGTACGTTCATAAAACAGCTAACTACTGTGTTTTTTTGGGATTATAAGGCGCATTAAGCAAAACAAAACAGTCAGATAAATCATACTTTATTCAACTCATTCACAATAACCACATAAAATCGGTTTGAGGTCAGTAAGCACAACCATAATTAATACATAAGGCTCACTGTCAATTTTTGAGAAAATTAAAGGATTTTAAGTGTGCTTTATAGTCCAAAAAATATGGTAATATATAGTTTTATCTGTCAATGGAGTTTCTGCCTTTTATCACTGGTTGAGGTGTAAAGGAAGAAAACCCAGACATCCATCTCTCCGACATGATGTGCAGACAATTTTATTTTCCTCTGCAGTTAAACTCTCAACATTCAATTAACTTGAGCTAAAGTGAAATCAAATAAAAACATTTTGGTCACTGGACCTATGAGTCTTTTGCATCATCACTGAACATGTTGTATTTGTCTTCTTAATAAGAATAAAAAGCAGAAAGCTGTCATTTTGTTCTGTATATGCTTGATGTACGACATAAGGGACTTTTTTCATGTTGTGGTATTATCTTCAAACAAAAAAGGTAAAATCTAGTCTCTTAAGTTTAAATTCTAATTGAACTTACAGGATTATTTTACTCAGTTTAAGCTGCGAGCCTGTAACTACAACTGAACCACAAACTCAGGCTTAAGCAGATTTTTTTTTTAAATTGTTCTACTTAAAAGCAATTAATTTATCTTTTTAACAAACTTGCCTGAAGCTGCTGCTGATTACTCTTAAAAGTACAGACAGCTTTTGAATAAATCATTGTCTTTCATTTATTTATAAATCATAAATAAGAGCCTTTGGAAGAAAGTGTTTTAAAAAAAAAGACTTGGTAATGTTCTTGATTTGTTTCATATGTGCAAGAGAGAGAGAACTTTTTTTGTTTCCTGACCTGGGATCCTGACAGCATCCGCACGCTCTTCAGCCTCAGGATCATGAGGCCGTAGCAGACAGTGATGATGAGGACGGGCATGATGAAGGCAAAGATGAATACGCAGATCTTCATCAGGGTGTCCCAGTACCAAGAAGGGTGAGGGAAGTTAAGCTTGCAGTCAATACCAGAGTCTGTGGGGAGGACACACACACACACACTTAAACTGAATGCTGACAGCTTCATTGTAATTTATAATACATGCATATTTAACAAGAAGTAATTTCTACAACTGCTCGCCTTAAAAACATGGAATCAGCACTTATCGGAGGATGATTACTCTGCACTTTAATGACACAAAACTGTTGAACTGTTGAACTACTGAACTACCGATACTCTGGATTTGGCAGCTTAACACCACCGGTTTTAAACATGCAATTCGTCAGTGACCTGCTTCAATCCAGAAACATGCATGTTTGGTTAGTTGGTGTGTGTGTGTGTGTGTGTGTGTTTGGTTGAATGCCTCTGTGTGGCCTTGTGGTAGACTGAAGAGAAGAAAACAAGGTTACGGTGAAGCAGTGACAAGTTATAAGGAGAAATATACTGAAGAGATATTCAAAAGTGAATCATAAACTCGCTTCAGGCAACAGGTTGATGACTGACTTTTCTTGGGAACAAATCAAGTCAAATAAAAGAAAAAATGACTTCAACATCTGCAATGTTATGGATGATACAAAAGCCTGTATTTGATATCAAATCAAACAAAGATTTATGAGGACAATCCCTATATGAATGCACAGGTATACATTAAACTGAAGTTTTTTTTTTCATCAGCTGAAAACGTTTTGTGCTAAATCTTTAAGGATAACCGTCAAAGAAACGAGTATTATTTGCACTCACCATAATTTTCACAGCTCTTTTACGGTTATTTGTGAATTATATTGAAATGTTCAATGATCCTTACTTCATGTAATAATCAGTCTTCATGTGATCGGTAGTAAAGGGACAGCAAGAGATAATTCTATTAACCTTAAGGTCTGATTGATATGATTACAGTGACGTCTTTTTTACGAGCATCCTTGAGAGCTGCTGGCTCCCAGATTTCCTCTGACTGCAGCTGGGATCTGATGAGCTGGACAAGGCAGGGAGGGGGTGGCGGCTGGAAGTTTCTACAAAATTATTATTTTCTTCTGTTCAGGAAGTCAGAACAGGTCAGAGCCTCAGAGAGGTGAAGGCACTGATAAGTGTGTACTTGTATGCATTGATATTCTGTGATTACTGGCTGTTCTCGAAAGCTTTGTAAATAAATAGCCTACACCTGGTTGTTTTGGGAATCTCTTTTGTCCACGATAGTAATCTACTACAAAACAGAAAGAAGTCTACTGAAACCAAATTAAACAAACTAAAGACCAAACCTTTCTGGAAGGAATGCATATTGTCCAATACCTTTCATGAGTTTTAAACTTGTGTCATCTTATGAGAAATTAGTGCACATACTCAAAGCACATGCTTTGTTTAAAACGTTAGCATCAACCGTGCCTGTCTGTCAGCAAAATATCGCATAAACGTCTAAATGAATTTTCTTTGAAACTTTCAGAAAGGGATCATTAGCTGTACATGCACCGCTGAATAGCTTCTGGTGATAAACAATTGATTATAAGAAAATCAGAACTCTCCCTAACGAAGCAGTTTTACAGATACTAAGCAAAAATGAAGTGTGGTAGTAGCTGGGAGTGTTTCCTGGCACATGGTTTGAATGCTACTCGTGAAACTCCCAGAAAGTAATAACTGGATGCATATTTACAACTACCGGTCATGGTCTTTTGGACTAAGTTCAATTCCAGATGGTCACCACAGCTAAACTTCAGCCAGCACAAAAATGGCTACAGTATGTTCTATTTTACAGATATTCAGCTAACATTTGAAGTGGTAGTAGCTGAGAGTCTGTCGCAACACATCTTAGCCTGACATCTTGCCATGCATGATGCGTGAAAATCACACATTTGATTTTCTTTGTAAAGAAAACAAATATAAATAACTCTGTGTCTAAACTTAGGATTAGGCCTGTCACGATAACAAATTTTGCTTAAATTGTCTCAGAAATTATTGCGATAAATGATAATATTGTTTGGAATTTGACAATAATTAGTAATTATTGTCAAATTTAAAAATAAATGTTTGTTAATTTGTTTTGTGTGTAGTACCTTTTTTGACCACTGGGTGGCAGTATAAAACAGTTTGTACCGAAGGATGGACAGTGAGGGAGCGAGCAGCGTGTCTCTTTAAGAAAAATGGGAAGGAGGCCCCTTGATGTGACATGGGCTGTCTCTCTTCGGTTCTCAAAATGGTGGATGTTCGGTGTGGTTTGAGTTCTTTAGCATAGCATTTGTCACAAAAAGCTTTTAATAAAAAAAATCAGTAAACAAGTTCTCAGCTTCTTTTTGCAGAGAAAAACAAGTTTTTAGATGAAGGTAGGTACAGGTTTCAAGCGTGAATTTTGGAGCTTCGACGAGACGGAGGTTTTTTCCCGGGGTCGGTCTGTTAGCTTAGCTCGTAGCTTAGCTTCTCAGTTTAGCCGCTTTTAACGATCCAAAAACCAGATTTTGGACGATTAAAACAGATTTTAGAGAAGAAAGGGAGGGGTCAGTGAAGAGCACCGGAGTTGAGCCTTTTGTCATCTAGTGTCTTCAGTAGAAAGAGAGAGACACGAAGAAACAATAAAGCCGATAACGAGGTCGATAATTTTCATTTATCATGCAATTAACTGATTTATTGTTTATTGCGACAGGCCTATTTTTGGATTATCTAAAACTTTAACATGAAGGACATGGGGAGACATGAACTCCTTTAACTTAATGCTAAGACTTTAAATATTGTATTTCTGTTGGTCTGTTCAGCTGTGATTTGTTTTACATTAATGTTTCTATTTCTACAGAAACAACAGGTTAACAAGAGAGTCCTCTAAAAGTGGTGATTTCACACATGAAAACAGCAACAGCTGTACTTGTTTGAATAAAAAATTACATATTGATTTACCTCCTCCTAAATCGATACTATGTGTTTACACATGCAGCAGATCCAGAGCAACGTTGGAGGTGAATAGATCGCTTGTGACTGGTGTGTTCATTAAGGCCGTGTGGACTCGGGTCAGTGCAGTGGGAGTTCAAAGCCATTAGTCAATGCAAACGTATGAAATTATGCAGGTTTTTTAAACTAAATGTTTAATCTATGTTCTTCAATTTCCTGTCAATAATGCGTTTGTCATTTAATTAACTATAATTTACCAAGATCAGTGAAGCATTGCTCTATTGTCAATTAAAACAAGGCTTTTTTTTTGCATGTTGATTTTTTTTATGTTTCAAAAAGCCCCAGTATACTTGAATCTACCTCTCAATGCCCTTGTTTCAAACACGCTTTCTCTTTTCATCCCATTCTCAGTAATTTCCTGGAAACCTACTGTCCATATGGTTGTGACTAATTGCTGGAGAGGTTTGACACTCAGGGTTCATCGCTTAAGAAGTCTGGACCAGCTTACTGACTCACCAACGGATGATACGATTATTGTAATGAAGTAGGGATAATTTTATTACCGCTTAAGTATCATTCTCTGCTTCTGTGTTTTTCATAAAGAAAAAAAGGGAAATTTGTAGACATCAACAATTATATTTTACATAATTACAGAAAAACTTTGTTTTTTTATTTTAAAAGTGTCGATGTGTGCTTACGCTTGTCAGTCACAACGGTGGAGGCCATGAACATGACGGGCAGCCCGATGGCCGAGGAGAGAATCCAGTTGCACACGTTGACAATCTTGGCGTTGCGTGGCGTCCTGAAATCCAACGCCTTGACAGGATGGCATACGGCGACGTAGCGGTCGATGCTCATGGTGGTGAGCGTGAAGATGGACGTGAACATGTTGTAGTAGTCGATGGACATTGCCATCTTGCAGAGGACGTCACCAAACGGCCAGGTGCCCATCAGGTAGTTGACGCTCTGGAACGGGAGCGTGCTGGTCACCAAGGTGTCTGCCACCGCCAGGTTGAAGATGTAGATGTTGGTAGCGGTCTTCATTTTGGTGTACCTGGGTAGAAACCAGGGAGAAGTTATACAGCTAGTGGATTGGGGTGCTGACACACGCACACATACAAAAAAATCCACTGTTCATCACATCAGCAAGGCTTCTCTGTATCAATATTTCCTTTTTTTTTTTTTTTTTTTTTAATGTCTGGTTTATTTTATGCCTCGTTGAAAGTCTTCATCAGAGAAAAAATATACAAATTTGTACAGAAAACCTTTCTGCAAACAAACCGCTAATGGAAAACATCACCAAAAAACAGAACCTTCATGTGAGAGGAGACACTAAAAGACTGTTTCCTGTTTTCATTCTCTCATTCTCTTTTTCAAAGGAGTATGTGACACTGCATGAAGACTCCAGTAATCAGATACATGGAATCCCTTCTCACCACCGAAAAGACTTTATGCTCATGAAGAACTCCTTTCAATCGACATTTATGTTTAAATATTGGTTAAAGTCTGTATAAAAGACACAAGAGGCACATACATTGAGACATGTGAGCTGATAAAATTGTAAACAAAATGATATCAGTATACAGTTTGTATTCGATCTCAAGGCTCCAGTTTTCCAAAGCAGCTAACAACAAAATTGACAACGAAGATAAAATAAATACTCTGAATAATTAGTTAATTTATTTTTATTTAACACCATATATGTCAGTTTATGCTAAAACCTGTTACAGAACATCATAATTAAATAAGGAGCACAAACACAACAGCCGCTTTGGATGTTATCAGCCCATTAAATGGCCGTTATTACTTGTTATCATCCCCATAGGTTGCCTTCAGACTGTCCCTCCTGCACCTCCTAGTAGGTTTCAAGGTACGCTCAGTCAGGGGGTTAGGTTAAGGGTCAGTGTTGGGGGTCAGGTGCAAGGTTAGGTTTAGGAAAAGGGTTAAATAATGCTAACAAAAAAAGCTTCTGGTTTTAGACGCGGGTGAAGCTGCGTATTATCAGCAGTAGCGCATCGGAAGCAGGTGAACACAAATAATATAAGTGGGAATTATGCTAACTCGGTTTAAGCTCAACAGGATCAACTAGTTAAAGACTCAGAGCTTTAAATTAATTATTTGCATTAAACTTTTTGACATAAACGGGATGGATTATGAGATTGATGTTCAGAACCCAATTAAGAATTAATATAAACTTGATTAACTCTAACTGAGATCCAACTAAGAGTCATTGAGGTTGACTTTAAATAATAATTTAAAACAAAAATAAAATAATTTCTGCCATGATAATGAGTCAGAATATTAACCAACCCAGATTATTTATTAAATGATTTTATGATGTGGACCCTCTGCCACCATAACCACAAGCAGGAAAAGTGTGATAGTGAAGCAGAACGTTTGTCCCACTAATTAACGTGTTCTGGGGTTCTGGGTCCAAGAGAGTGCTGGAGATGGTCCCTAAAGGTCCCAGGTGAAAACTACCGTGGAGTGCAGAACCTCTGAACAAGTTGTTCTTGACAATGTTGTCCAAGGAGGTTCTTTTAGACCAGCAGAGCGTTTGTAGGCAAGAATGAGGTCTTTGTGATTTCTGAAAGTAGTCTGGTCGATTCATAACAGCCTCAGAGTTTGTTGATGGGGAAAAGAGGAAATTACTTTGTCCATGCTGAAAAACAAAAGTTTTGATGAACCGACAAATAATAATCCAGTCATGATGGTTTCATTCTACTACATGATGTTTTTTTGAGGGGAAAATCAAAGTATTTCTGGGATGTGTTAAGCCACCTACCCCGTTAGCAACATTTATTTTATAGGAGGACAAACTAAAGTTGTAACGCTCCGTAAATCTGTGAGTAAAGCCATGTAAGGATGAGCTTCCTGATAAGAGATCACAGATTGCCCTAAGGCACTTATTCTGTTTGGGTTTTTGCATTACGCCCCTAGAAACTGCCTCGGGGGACAATCTTTGAGCTAGTTTAGGAAAGTTACAGAGGAAAACCCATTGCGAAATCCTATATGCACAACGAAAGGGAAACTTTAATTCCTCTTTTGCTGCATATAAATCACTTTTATTGGATGATTGTTTCCTCTGGTATCGGATGCTGCGCAGCTGAAAGATTTTTTACTGAAACTTTTGTTAGTTTGTTATGATGCGTAACCATGACAACAAGGTGTTTTTTTTACAACCAAGAGCAGCTGATTAACATCTTAAAAGCTCAAATAATATCTCAGCTAAAGCCACAAATATCAAATGAGTTGAAGAGGAGGCACTGAAGATGCATTCCCATCTCCCTGCCGGCTGTGCTCGAGTGCCTGACCACTGAGATCCTGGAACTGGTAGGAAACGCAGCTCGTGACAGAAGGACCGGGATTGTCCCCCGACACCTGCAGCCAGCTGTCTGCAGCGGCAAGGAGCTCAGCAGGTTGCTGGAGGAGTGACCATCGCTCTGGGAGGAGTGGCCATCGCTCTGGGAGG